ATGATTTTATCATATTATTACTATCATCATCATTATTATTATTTTTTATCTCCTTTTTTTTCCTCCTCCTTCCTCTCCTCCTCTTCCTCCCTCCTCCTCCTCATTCGCGTGACACCACACTCAGTCCTTCCACGGGCGTGCCTCCTGCGGTGTGGGCGTGGGAGGGGGGACTGAGAAGGGTGGGGGTGAGGGGAGGGCGCGAGGGTGAGGAAGGACCACCCACGTCACCCTCAGAAGCCGGAGGGGAGGGGGGGAGGGGTGGGGAAGGGGGAGGAAAAACCGTCATCCTCGGTGTCGTGTTTCTGTCTTCGAGTCGGATGCGTAAAGTGCGTGTGTAACTCTCTCTTTCTCTCTCTCTCCTCTGACGCCTCTCTCGCGGATTCTGCTGTGTGCCTCTCTTTCGCTCTTTTAAGCTCTCCTCTTCTTCAATTCCCCTTTTTTTTGGTCTTTTCTTTTGTGGTATTCGTCAGAGATATTTTATTTTTTTTATTTTTCTTTGTTTATTTATTTTATTTTTTTGAGATTTTTTTTTCGTGTCTGTGTATCATGTTTGTTATCTCTCTGGTTTGTTTTGTCTCTTTTTCTCTCTCTTTCTTCTTATCTATCTTTATCTCTTTGTAATCTATCTATCTGTCTCTCAGTTATCCATACATCTGTACTTTGCCTTTATCTATCTATCTTGCTGTCCATCTTTTTATCAATTAATTCATCTTTTAATCTATCCATCTAAATATGATTATGTAATGTAAGTACATATCTTTATCTATCTATCTATCCATCTCCACATTTTTGGAAGTGAATTTATCTATCGATCAACGGAATCGAACATCTTACTGTGAATACAACATAAAACATTTGCATAATATTCCTTTACTTGTCTGCCGATAAAGGTTTTTTTTTACTGCTATTAATCATAGCGACGACGGCATGATGATGATGATGGTGGTGGTGTGATGATGATGATGATGATGATGATGGTGGTGGTGGTGGTGGTGATGATGATGATGATGATGATGATGATGATGATGATGATGAGGATGATGATGATGATGATGATGATGATGATGATGATGATGATGATGATGATGATGATGATGATGATGATGATGATGATGATCATCATCATCATCATCATCATCATCATCATCATAAATGATCATAAATAACGATTCTGTTGCACGGAGGTGGTACGCAGCCATCTTGTCTTCATTTTCACGAAATCTGTCTTAAAATATTCCTCATGGCAAAATTTATTAACCTGTATGCAGAGGGGTAACTATGCTTTTCAAAACGATCGTCAATGAAGTGTAAAGTACGTGATAGCATAAAGTAACAATTGATTTTAGTCTCTGTGAGTCAGCTGTGACTAGTTGTTGCTGACAAGGAAAAGCACACACACACACACACACACACACACACACACACACACACACACACACACACACACACACACACACACACACACACACACACACACACACAAACACACACATATATTTGTGTGTGTGTGTGTGTGTGTGTGTGTGTGTGTGTGTGTGTGTGTGTGTGTGTGTGTGTGTGTGTGCACATGTGTGTCTATTACAAAATTTCAATGCACTGATCTCCATACATGTATCAACGGGATCTGAATAGCACCAAGTCGCAATATCATGAATCATTTGCATATCAGAGCCAGTAACAACCGGAAAATCAAGTGGAAAGGGAACTCAACGCAAAGCCAAAATAGATTCTTCAGTCTTTCTGGCGGGAAATTGCAAGTTCGAATAGATGTGTGTATGGGTAGAGATGGGAAGCTTGATGGAGGTAGAGCTCTTGTTCTCTCTGATTTCTTTATTTTCTCTTTTTCTTTCTCCTTTTCTTTTCTCTCTCTTTTTCTCTCTCTCTCTTTCTCTCTTTTCTCTCTCTCTCTCTTCACTTCTCTCTCTCTCTCTCTCTCTCTCTCTTTCTTTCCCACTCCTCTCTCTCTCTCTCTCTCTCTCTCTCTTTCTCTCTCACATTCTCTCTCTCTCTCTCTGCCTTCACTCGTCTCTTTCTCTTTTCTCTCTCTGCCTTCACCCTCTCTCTCTCTCTCTCTCTCTCTCTCTCTCTCTCTCTCTCTCTCTCTTCTCTCTCTCTCTCTCTCTCTCTCTCTCTCTCTCTCTTCTCTCCTCTCTCCCTCTCTCTCTCTCTCCTCTCTCTCTCTCTCTCTCTCTCTCTCTCTCTCTCTCTCTCTCTCTCTCTCTCTCTCTCTCTCTCTAATTAGGCATTACCAGAGTCCACACACAAACACATCCACTTTTGCCATAGTATCCGAGTCGCTAATGGTATTTGAACCGTAACTGTATCTCCATCATCTTAATGGGATTTCCCTCATTAATTGCTGTTGGTATGACCGATGATTCAATTGCCGGCACGATCATTGGCTTCATCACCCGCGCATTACCGTCACCACATCTCCAAAAGCGTCATCACGTCACCACTAACACTGCTTACGTCACGTGGGGTTTAATTGGCTCGACCATCATCCCAGTCATCATACTTACCTCTTTATCATCACACCATCTGCGCCGAGAGACTGGCAACACTGTATCGCCCTTCACCACAACACCATCACCATCATCACCCTCCCTTTGGCACCATCACTCAGCACCAGCGGCACCATACTCACCACCTCGACTCACCGACTTCCTGAACAAACACATTAGGGGGCGGGGCAAAAAAAGTGGTCCGCGATAACGGGGCTCCCTTAGGGACCATACTCTCCCTACCTCCCCCCCCTCCTCCCTCCCCTCCCTCTCCCCTCCATCCCCTCCCTACCTCTCCCTACCTCTCCCCCCCCTACCTCTCCTCTACTCCATGCCTCCCTACCTCTCCTCTACCCCTCCCCCCCCTAAACCCCCTCCTCCCCTCCTCCCCTCCTACCTCTCCCTCCCTTCCCCTCCCTACTTCCCACTCCATCCCATCCATCCCTCTACCTCTCCCTCCCCTCCCTCTCCTTCCCCTCCACCCCCTTCCCCTCATTACCCTCATGAACATCGGGAGGAAAAGTACACCCTCACCTCTCCCTCACCCCCCCCCCCCCCTCACCCTTCCTGGCCCTGACGCCCTTAAAGAAGTTAGGATGTCTTGGCCCTGAGATTTGTTGCATGCAGGTGTGTGAATTCAATTAGTGATATATCTCCCTTGGTGTTTATTCATTTCTTTCTATAGACATTACTTTTATTTTTTATTTATCATTTGTTTTATCCGCCACTGTCCTATTTATTTCGTTATCATCCTTATCATCATAATAATCATGCTGATAATTTATGACAATCATGTTTATCCCTGTGATTTATGCTTCATTTCTTTATTTTTACAATCCCCAAAATTATAACCTCTATAAACAACACCTTATATTTTTTTCTACAAAATCACTCGTAAGACATTTCAAAGATACCAATCGCCTTCGCTAATTTTTCAAACCACATCTAAGTCTCCTTTTCAAGTGCATAATAGATATCTTGCAACCTCATGGTATGTGCAGGATCTCATTACAGCATCTTGTATCAATTTATTTACATCTGTCCCCGGAGATAAAAATTATATAAGTGTGCATCCCTTTTAAGATCTGCACAATGACACAGATTGCATCCTGAGTTACGCTAATATGGACAAAATGATATTTTTTCTTATTTATGATTCATGTTGTGTTGACTCCAGGACAGATGACAGTGACGTGGAGAATTATACTGTCTTCTGTTAGGGAATACGAATGTTCTTAATGGTGTTGACTGTTAGATTTCTATTACTATTATTTATGTTGTTGATAAAACATTTTGAAGATATTCATATGTCTATATTGGGTTTGTGTATAGCAGAATAAAAAAGAAAATCCAAGATAATCCAAGATAAAACATTCGTTTATGTTAAACATTAATCAAAGTATCTTTTTCTGAGCATTTGCATTTTGCATGCAGAGGGAAAGGGACCCCACGTATCTGCTTGCAATGGAATGCAACACATATGATCAGCCCGTATCTTGCATGACCTTTTCCGCCTCCCTCCCTTCGTTAACACGTGAGGGCTCTAGATAACATAGAATAACAATGCCTTTGTTATCCTTTATGTTAATCTTCCTCATTCTTTGTCTTCGTGCTCTCTTTCTCCCTCTGTTTTGCTTGATGTTAGTTTTTTTTTTATCTAGTCGAATTCTCAATTTCGTCAAACATCTCATCATCTTTAAGTCTTTCTCCTTCTCTTTTGTTCTCTTTCTTACCGTCCTCGACATCGCCCGTCCAACCTTTCCCATTCTCCTTCCTCTTTATTCCCCTTCTTCATCTACCCTATTCTTCAATTCCACCGCTCTTGACCCTCGCCTCCTCTCTCAATCATCCTCCTATATTCTTCTTTCCATCTTCTCCCTCCTTTTTTTCTTCGACCCACCACTCCTCCTTCTCTTCTCTCCTTCCCTTTCATCACACCATCTCCTATTCGCATCTCTCCCTCTCCTTCTATTCCCCCTCCCCCAGTATTCATCCTATCCCAGTCTATTCATTCCTCCCTCCCCTCACTATCCATCCGCCCTAGCTCCTTCCCTAGTCGTTATATAACCCCACTTCACTTCCCTTTTCTCCTTTCTCCATTCCCCTAACCCCAATTACTCCTACCTATTCCCTCCTTCTTCCCCCCAAGACGGGACTGAAGCGCAATGCACGACTACAACCTACAACTCATTACGGGACGGAGGCTCCTCATCGGTGACATCATACCAGAGAAAGGACTGGCAGCACGCACTCTAATTTCACGCTCAGTGCCAGCTCCTCCTTCGACGACTCCCCGTCCTCCTCCCTCCTTCGCTTCTCTTCTCTCCGTGCCATCCACCTTCCTCCGTTCCCTTTCCTTCCCCTGCCTGACTTGTCTAATCTTTCTTCTCTTCCTGTTATTCATCCTCAAACTCATGTTTTCCATTCCTTCATTATCTAAATCAATGACTAAATACACTGCCCTTATTATATGCAATGAACACAGTATACTCAGAGTAAAACAATTTATTTCATGGAACAAACAACGACTCAGATATAGGCAGCGGTGTTCATGTCGACCCAGACCGGTGGATGCGAACCGTCGATCTCGATCTTCGTCCACAAGCCCCACGCCTCCACAGACCTGGCGTGGGTCACGGTCACAGAGGGACTAACGGGAGCCTCAGAGGACGTGGGGGACGAGCAGCGAAAACTATCCAGACCGAAGGAATGCACGGACGGCAAAGAACTCTGTAAGTGGGATTCGGAAAAGGCCATCAGAAGATCCTTCAAAGATAGAGTTGGTGTCTGTTGGTAAGGCCAATCCTTCGTCCCGTTGGTCGAGTCTTCGGGACTAATATCTGGCGTCGTCCTGGGATGGATAGGAGACCCGAAGGGAGTGAGGCTCGGAGAAGGAGGCGTGAAGAACTCAGGTACATCAGACGCCAGATGAGTTATTCCAAAATCCGTCTTCTGGTGTGGAGTCTGTGGGAGGCAGAGGAATAGTTTAGTTCCAAATGATACACGTATTTTGCGCAATACAAAAAGGACACCCATGACACTCTGATCCACCACACTAAGAAGAATTAGAATAGTTCAGTCTTAATAAGCTATACAATTAACATTACATCCAAATTTATTCGAAGCTCAAGCTACTTTATAACATCCAACATTAATTACCTTCAATAATAATTACTCACCTTTCTGATTATTCTCCTGTAGACAACGAAGACGACGAAAACCACGAGCGAAAGAAGAAGGGGCAGAAGAAACCCATAAACCATAGGCAACCACATAGACATCTCTAAAGCCATGGTAGTCAGAAGAACAGAACAGAAGAGAAGAGAACAACTGGCTTCAGAGATCCCATAGCGAGAATATATACCAGTTGGGAAATTAGGGAAATAACAGGTCACTGGTAGTTTGCAGGTGACCAATGGTTGTTACGGGAAATGAGGTCAGACTAAAGAGGGAATGCGGGAAGACTGCTGGTACCTGAATGACCACTGTTGGCAGACCTCAAGAAGATGGGATTGATATTGTTTCTATGTTGTCTGAAATGGCAATCTTTGTGACTTTTAAACATTATGGTAATGATAACAGTAAAACAATAATGATAATGATGATCATGACAGTCATGATCATAATAATAGTAATGATAAGTTTATTATTATCATAACTATTACTGTTACCCCTTATCATAAGCATAATCATCAATATATATATATATATATATATATATATATTATATATATACATACATACATATAGATATATATAGATGTATATTTAAAATACGCATATGCATATATAAATATGTATATATATATATATATATATATATATATATATATATATATATATATATATATATATATATATATATATATATATATATATATATATATATATATATATATATATATATATATATATATATATATATATATATATATATATATATATATATGCATATGTATAGTAATATATATATGCATATATATGTATGTATATTAATAATATTAATAGTAGTGATCATAATAATAGTAATTGTATCATGTAGGCACTCAGACACCCGTAGAAACGCGCGCGCGCGTGTGTATACATAAATAAATGATACAGTTACTTTCGTTATGTGCACCGCTATTGATATCGCTGTTAATAATTCCTGTGATACTTTTGCCCGTAATAGTGTTAGCGGAAAGGAATCGTGTCAGTTCCGATTTCATTATCATCTTAATGTCATTATCAACATCATTCATATTCCTAACATTACCAAGCTGCAGAACAGAAAAAAATAGTAGCTATTATTTCCAACCGTTTTGCCACAAAGGTAGACCATAAAGTTATTTTTACCCATTTTCTCACTGCCATAAACGCCATACCTGTAATTGTTATTGCCAACAACACCTTTTGTGTTATAATTACCATCAGCAATATCAGTCTAATCTGGACACTTTACCTGACAACCCGTAAAAAAGGGAACCGATAGGGCTATATTATAACGTAAGGGAACACTTATCCCGTAACCATACCACAATTACTAATACTATTATTTGAGTCAAAGATCGCAATCAACAGAAACAAACACTATCATTAGAACTTAAAAAAAACTAAAAAACTAAAAAAGACACGACAATAACCACCATCATCATCATCAAACAACACCATCGCCATTATCACCACACTCCATCACCACCAACGGGGGTCATCGAGACACAAATAACACAGCGATCAAAATAGATTAAAAAGCAGTTCAGTTCTCGCTTATTTGCATAAACACATCCGCTGGCATTCCTCCTCCGCTATCCGTCACCTCGCCATCGCATCTGTTCCGCGTGTAAGAGCGTTTCTCCGTGTTCTTTAATAGGTTTTCTCTGCCCCTTTCATTATGTGTCTCTCTTCCCTCCCCCGCCCTTCTCCTTCTCTCGGCTCGTCAAGGAGCGGTGTCGTCTATTTAGACTTTATTATCAGATACGTAGTGCATTTCTTTTGTTTTTTTTCGTTTTTTGATTTCCGGATTATTATTTTTTTTTTTTTTTAAATTTTTGGTATTATCTTTTTTCTAAGTGTTTGTCCTCGTGTTTCTGAAATCTACGTTCTTGTTTACATCTGTTGCTCATAACCCTCCTTCTCTGTCTTATTTCCTTCATTTTCATTTATTTTCTTCTTACTTTTTCTTTTCTTTCTTCACTTCCTTCCTCCATTCTCTCTACATCCATCTATCTCTCCCTCAATTTTCTTAACTCTCTTCTTTCTTTCTTTCTCTCTCCCTCTCTCTCTCTCTCTCTCTCTCTCTCTCTCTCTCTCTCTCTCTCTTCTCTCTCTCTCTCTCTCTCTCTCTCTCTCTCTCTCTCTCTCTCTCTCTCTCTCTCTCCTCTCTCCCTCTCTCTCTTTCTCTCTAAAAAATAGAAAAATCTTACAAGCAACAGAAAGGAAATTACCCAAACCAGCTCGTTAGCAAAATCACTCCTTGGCCTCAAATGATCGTTGGGTGTATCACGTGACCAGCAACTCCCCCCTATAAATACACCATAAACATCCCGAGGCAGCTACGACTACATCTGTTTGTATTTTCCTGATGTTTATAACGTAAAAACGGCCTTTGGGTGGGATAGTTAGCTTGTCTGTTGTGACGGTCGGTCGTGTTAATTGTGGAGGGTCTGTTCCTATGACACACGATCTCCGTTTTTTTGTGTTATTTGGGGGAAATCATTAGTGCTTTTCGCTTGGGATGAGGCGTTTTATCCCGTGATTATGTGAAATCTTATAGGGAACGTATCATATGGAACAGGGCGGTTTATTTTCGTTTTATTTTATATATTAAGGCATCTCTCTTTATACACATACATTTATGCACATACACACACGCACACATACATATATGTATATATATATAATATATATTATATATATATATATATATATATATATATTGCATATATATATATATGTATATTATAGTATATATAATATATATAATATATATATATATATATATATATATATATATATACATACACAATACTAATACATACTGCCATATACGGGAAAAGTGTAGTATCTGCAAAATATTCGAGATTGAGATATAGCACCTATTAGATTCATGAAACGCATACACATGACGGCAGTGTATGAGAACCAATACTTGAGGCTTCCTATGAATATATAGCATTTGCCATATGCAATAACTGCAAAACCAGCGGCAAAGCAAGGTAACGCTGCAGTATCTACCACTTACTGCAGTCTTGAGTCGTACTCCAAAAAGAAGACTCACTGCAGTCAAGGATACGCGAGGGAGACGCACAAACAGACCACACGAGAAGAACGAGAAGAACACTGGGGAGATATCAGATCATACTGTCATTCACTTCCTGCATCGAAGATTACACGACACGAAATCCGGAATGAAGCTATCACGTATGAGTACCGCGTAGTTGTTAAGGAGGAGAAAATACATCAATTTCGCTAAACTTGAAGAGAAGGAATACGAGAATTGCCTGATGCATGAAGCTTCTGGGCGCCGTTATGAACCTGTGGCTCAGGGACCGTCCTTCGCCGTTGTTGGGACAGAACTTCCTGGAGGTGAAGGGAGTCCATTCCAGGTTCCGTGGAAAGGCCGAGCGACTGACAATGGCCCTCAAGATGACTGCGACTTATGCCAAAGTCAGCTGCAGCTCAAGCAGAGATGCACAGCCGCAAGGAAGATGTGTTGCGAGGATGCTGAATAGGAATGGCCCAAGGAAATCTCTCTCCGCTGTGTTGATATGCCAAAAGAGATTATGCTGCCACGAACGCCTGGCAACAAAACAGTCATCTGAGACCTTTACTCCTCTTGCTTTGGAAATGGGTAAAGGTGCCAAGAAGAATACAAGGGCATTGCTAAGAGGAATGCTGAAGAACATCCGCATTTGTCTGCACTTTCCAAAATGAACGTGACATGAGACACTTCATCATTTGGCTGGACAACTGCACTGCTCAGAATTCTGATGTGCACCATGCTGCGGAACATGATTGTCGTCCAGTTTCGAAGGGGATGCTCCACGGGAAAACCAGTCATGAAGATAAATCCGTGACATCCAATTCCTACAGAAGAACTTCAAACTGGAAATGCCTGGTCCACTTACGAAGGAGGTGAGGGGGATGCTGGCTGACAAGAAGGCAGATATTATTAACAAGCTCTGTCCTCTGATGCCGAAGAATGACGCCCACTCCGGGGAAATTAGTGAAAACAACATAATGCCGATGGAAAGACAACAACTTTCATTCAGCATACCATGTTCCAACTTCATCAAATTACATCAAACTTCTTCAAACCATGTCATATAAGGTTGTGTCTACAAATACTGCAATTTCTTGTACTGAGCAAGTAAAATCTGCAGTATCTACCCAATTACCATAATCCGGTAATAATTCTACAATAACTTCAGTGCCACTCTACTTTGCATAGAGTGAAGCAAAAGTTTGTATCATGCTATTATATGGAATAAAATAATAGTAAAGTGCAGTGAAAAATCTTCATTACCGTTTCACTCGTGTTCACGTATTTACAGATACTGCAGTCTTCCATTTTAGGGATATATATATATATATATATTATATATATATATATATATATATAATATATATATATATATGTTATATATATATATATATATATATATATATATATATATATATATATATATATATATTATATACGCACACACACGCACGCACGCACACCCACACATGCACACATGCACGCATACGCTAATATATATATATATATATATATATATATATATATATATATATATATATATATATATATATATATAATATATATATATATATATATACATACTCCTGACTCTTCATTTCCTCCCCTTTCCCTCCGAGTCGTCCCCTGCGCACCATTCATCACCGCTCTTCCTCCATCATCTCCGTCATCTTCCTCCTCTTCTTCTATTACCACCACCGCCACCAACTTCCCCGCTACAATAATATTCTGCCACCACAATCTCTACCACCAAAGCCAGCATCTCCTCTGTTGTCATCACTATATTTGCGATCAATTTCATCATTACTTGCCCGCAAATCAGCATTTTCCTTTGTATTATCACCACTTCTGCCACCATGCCACTGTGACTGCCTCTGCCACCACATCCACCTTCGTTGTTACATTCTCCACCATCGTTAATGGCATCTTCACCACAAACATCTCAACCACCAACACCATCATCATCTCTGTAACCATTTGCATCACTTTAATTACCAACGCTACCATCCTCCTCCTCCTCATCATCATCACCAACACTACCTCCACAACCACCACCACACTACTCCCTAT